TCGTTGCGCACGGCTGCTGCTTCATATTCAGCTCTCAGCCTTTGCATACGGGCAGCCAGGATCCTATTGGTTTCCCTCATGATGTTCTCCAAGTGCGTATCGGTATACCTTCGATTGAAGGCTGCAGTATCTTCCTCATCTGGAGCTCCATGGTGAACCATGCGCCATAGCTCGTCATCTGAAACTTCATCTATTCCAGAGTTCTGATACCTTTCAACCTTTTATTCATAGGTCTCATTTCTTTCCTCAACATCTGATTCATCAACCTCATCTGTCGTTGGCACTTCCTCTTCAGCTATCTCATCTAAGCCATGCTCCCTTCGGTATGCCTTCAGCATCGAGAGAACTTTTCTCAGGGCAACATCCATACGCAAGGTTTGAAGACGTCCTTGAAGTGCAGCACCAAAATGAGCTGTCACCACCAAAAAGCCACCAAGCAAGCAAATGATGGTCAGGAGGAACGCCATCACCATGCCAAAGGGCCCTGAAGTGCTCGAAGAGCTGGAAGTCGAAGGGTAAGCAGGCAATTCCATAGCCATTGTGCTGCTCAAGGCGTTGATGAGTAGCACTCGCATCAAACTTTTAGAGGTTGTCCCATTAAAACCCATTTGTCTGAGGTTCTTGATACCAACTAGTATTTGTTGTTCTTCCAACTTTCTGCAAAACTGGAGCCAACAAATTGGCTATTGGCCATGTTGTATACTTTGCATAAGTTCATCAAATATTCCATACAGTCTCGGGTCAATCTCTTTGAACCCAAATCAGATACGTTTTCCTTTGTACCAACTTTTCCAACAGTCACGAAACCCTCTTTGATTTTCACTTGCATCCACAGGATTCTAAGACTGATGTGTCTTATCCTGCCTACTACTCCAACACGGCATAGGAAGGCTCTCGCAGCAGAGTTGTCCATCGCCAAATGAGCTTTGATGTTGTCCTTGTCCCCAATAGAGAACCTGAGACAGTGGTACATCAAAATTGCGTCACTAGTTGCTGACGCAGCTGCATGTATTTCTGCCTCTGCTGATGAAAGAGCCAATGCTTTCTGAGAACGTGATGTGGAGTAGAGAAGACATCCAAACAGAAATAAATATCCTGAAGATACTGATCGACGTGTTTGTTTGTGTTTCGCCCAATCTGAATCACTGTAAATCTCAAGAGTATAGTCACATGGATTGTAGTGAAGCAGTCCTTTGTGGGCCTCATACTTCAAAACCATCGCATGCTCAGTGCATCCCAAAAGATACTGAGCCAGGTGTCTCAAACACGCCATTGCCTGAACAGAAGGTGAAGACATACTTTGTGAAAGACCTCTGATAGTATATTGACATTCCACGTAGTCACTTGATATATATAACAAGATACCAATGCATGACCTATAAACACTTGCATCTCCAGCACTCAGCTTGGCAGTCGTGTCAGGCTCATCCAGCATCGGGTGTCCTGGTGTCTTCTTTGGTTTCAAGCGTCGATTGATACAAAGTAGATCGAAAAGACGTTCAAGATGTTTGGGATGACTCTGAATTGCCATCTCATCATCAGAGATCAAAATATGTTTTCCCTTCAGAAACGTAAGCTCATCATTTTCCTTGGACATGATCTCACATGAAATCTTGTACTTGGAGTTCAAAGCTGGAAGCAGTACATCGTCAAGGTACTTTCGGGTACTCAAACACAAAACATCATCAACGTGCAGCAGCATCAAACATTCACCATTTGGAGACCTAAGCAAACTGGGGTATGCTGGAAAATCATTGATTTGAAGTTCATTGCTCAGAAAACCACCGAATGCCTCGTGCCACATCTGCGAGCCATTTCGTTGGCCAGGTAGGACTTTTCCAAGCATGAAGTCCATTTCTCACCCGTGGCAAGTTCACATGTCACTTGTGTCGATTCTTTCTGAGGTACCATCAAAAATGCGTCTGCAATGTCAATGGCGCAGAGAACATATCCCAATGATTTTCACTTCATAAACAAGGTCGGTAAAAGCCTTACTGTCAGCACTGATGATGCCGGGCTGAATAGATCTTGTCGCTCAGGTGACAGCCAAGCAAATTCTCTGGCCACATACCTGGAGCGTCGCAACCAAACATGAACACCGTTGATAAACTTGTCACGCCATGTGCGTACCATCCTGGTTGTCAACTTCTTCGGAATCTCATCACCATAGGCGTAGGTGTCAGCAGGGATCAAAACTCCCATCGACTTCAACTTAGAAATCTCAAGTTCATCGGCCAAAAGATCAAGTTGCAAAAGATCTTCATCAGAAAGTTTTGGTTCTAACTTCGTGTAAGGGATTGAAAGTTTCTGCAAAATGTCACTGGTTGAATCTGTGTCACCATACACATGCGCATCTCCTGGGTCATCATCGCGCATGGTATATTCATAGGCTTCGAGGCTTTCAACCTCATCATTTTCAAAATATGTTGCATGGGAATCATCTTCATGTTCCATAAGTGCAAGAATACGTGGATGCTTGGCAGGCCTTTCCACAGTTTCATCATCACGCGCATGGGCTGCTCGTGGAGCAACACTAGGCATAGCTGCATCGCCACTACCTGAGGCACTTGAAGTAGCTGGCACATCAATTGGAGTTGTTGGAGCGGCTTCCAAAGCTGGCGTACTTGGTATACTGAGTCCAATCTGTCTTGGCAAAGTCCCCGCCTCAGCTGATACTTCCATATGCTCATCAAGAGCTTGTCCTGTCAAAGCTGGGGCAGCACTAGCAGGTGGTCCAACCACTCTGGGAGACTTTGGAGCCTCTTCGCCAACTTCGCCTGGAGTTAGTGGAATGCCCATCACAGCTTCAGCATCAAGGCCTCGGGGCCTTGCAGGTGGTAATGACAAAATGGGTGGCGCAGAAATTCTCTTTGACAAAATGAGTTGTGCTCCAAGTGAAGCATATCCAAACTGCCATGGTGAAGCCTCCACCTCGCCAACCATCTGCATATCCCAAGGTTTCGGGAGACGTCTAACGCTCCTCGTGACAAACAACTGAGGACTTCCAGGAACAGCAATAATATGAATATCATTGCTAGCTGTCTTTCCTAGCCATATGCCCTTTGTCCAAGTCGGGGAACCTTTTGTAGATAACTTCAAAAATTCAAGTACACGCTCACCAAAAAGCGCCAAACGTCCAGTATATGGCCTATTGGCACATAGTTCATAGGCCGTGTGGCCTTGGCGTACCACAAACCTGTTGTGTAACCAGCAACTGTGAAGCAAAGCCCATTGGTACAACGGGTGGTGACATCCTATCACCTCACCAAGTCCACAACCCTTTTCGATTTGCTGGATCAAAAGGTTTGCATGCCTTCTGATCACCTTCACAGTGACTTCTGCAGCACCATTCGAAGCATGACTTCCTGGAGGAACTGTCTCTTCAATGATTCTGATTCCAAGTGGTCTGCATGTTTTCTTAACAGCTTCAAGCAAAGAAAGTGTTGATGGCTCCTGGCCGCATCGAAGAGCAATTGTTGATTGCCCAAGCCAAACCAAGAACCTACAAAACTCAGTGCAGAGGTACTGCAAATGTCGTCCTCCCTTCTGCGGTGTTGGAACCACATGCATAGCACCTGAATGACGATCGTGAATAAAAAGACCACAAGCTTTAGGTTCATGCTCCGTCCGTGATGCAAAACCAAAATCAAAACTGACACATGTATGGGCACCAGCTGGTTCATCTCTTTGGGCTGGATGTCCATCTTGTTGTGACCTGTTTGCAATACATAGCCCACACCAAGCTGCAAAGGGTTGGTGGGATAAATTGTGATCTGCAACCTCTTTCTCTGTGGGCTCAGCCGGTACAGATTGAGAATGCACAGGCCTTGCAAGGTCGCCACGTACTTGCTGTTGAGCACCATGAGCTGCAATCAACTCCTGAGCTTGCAAATGATCCCAAATACGTTTGAAGCACTTTGTCTTGCCACCACGTCCAGAAATACCGAGTGATTCACATGCTGCAACCAAAGTTTGGAGAGGAGAGTTGGAATCCAGTGTCAAGCCATCAACGATCACTTCGTTGTTGTCCACCTCAGCGCCACGTTCAGGCACAGGTTGTTCAGCTTCATCTGCAGCTGGTACATCATCCATATCAGACCTAGCAGCAGGAGGTACAACACGCAAAGAAATTCCACTACGTGGGGCTATGACAAAATTGTCATCATGTAAAGTAAATCCCAAAACCTCTGGTGGCACAGTCGCAGTATGAGCAATAGTGATCACTTCAGTCACCGGTCTGTTGGCCTCAAAAGGACCAGTCATGGTTCTCAAATCACTGATGTTCTGACAAAATTCATCGGGCTCCCAAGTGCCATCATCCAAATGTATGAGAGTTGTACGCAACCACAACATACCATCACTGGGGCACAAAGTACTGTCAACATGTTGATTTGCATTGCTTTTGAGTGCATAAACAGAATCACCAAGCTTGACCCAACCAGCACCTAGAACCGATAGCGCTCGACCCAACGTCAGAGCTCGAACGTGTTCAGCATCATCTTGGGTTCCTGCATGGGTGGAAGAAGATGGATCATCTGTGGATAGCATTCGAATGACTCCAACAGCACAAAGAGAGTTGCGCTTGAAGTGCACAGGGATCTGCTTGGAATTGCGCACCAAATACATGCTACCGTCCTTATTGGTCCGTAGGAGCCAACCATCTTTCAGCAGTCTGCCCATGGAAATCAAGGGTGAAGTAACTGCAGCTATGATAAAACGTTCTCGAAAAACCACTGATCCAAACTTCACTTCAGCAATCCTGACACTTTTCACCTGAATGGGCTTACCTTGTGCATCAATGAACTTGGAACCACCAAATGACTCATCAGCATAGCCTACATCACCATACGCAAGTGGAAGCACTGATCCATCAGCGCCAGAATCAAGCACCACCTCCACATTGTGATGATCTGAGTATCCAACCGTTCTGATATTCTCAATGGTGCAAACGTCATTGGGCTCATGAATGAAAAACTGATCACACTGTTCAACACTGTCATCTAAACATGTCCAAACATCGTCATGGTCAGAATAAGACAGTCAAAACGGCTGCAACACGCTGTGTAAACACCCTCAGCTTCTGCGGTGTCGTCCCAGCCAAACCATTCGTTTGAATAGTCTGTAGAAACTTGTGAAAACATGTTGCATGCACCAAAGGAGTCGTAACCAGTTAGATCTTTGATTTCAACATCTTCATCCAAATCTTCTATGATGGGTCCATGTGATTCATGAAGTCCAGTGAAAAGACGCACAGAGCCATTCACACCAGAAGAGCTAGTAGCACCACTGCTAGTCGAAGAGTTGCTTGAGGCACTGGCTGCATTGTTCGAAGCATTGGATTCAACCTGGTTCACATTCTTCTCACCACGTCCATGAAGCTTCCAACAGTCACGCTTGAAGTGACGGTACTTCCCGCAGTATAAACATTGGTCACTGGCAGTTGCAGTACGAGTGGAGCCCTTGTTGTTGGACTTACCTTTTCCCTTGTCGCTTTTGTTCTTCCCTTTACCCTTGGTGGTCTCTTTACCCTTACTCTTTCCTTTTGATTTTCCTTTATTCTTCCCTTTTTCAAACCGACCTATCTCCATTGGAGCCAAACCAGTATTGTTGGAGGATTGATTGAAACTCTGATTTTGACTTTGGGGCAAAATGCCCAACTCTGAGTGAATCTTGCCTGGGGACCATGAGGTCGTAGTGCGCTCATAGCTCACCACCATCGCTCTCATTTGGTCATAGTTTGACGTCTCGTTCAGCTGCAATTGCACATGCTGTTGAATTGCCTTTGGCAGCGCACGCGCAAGCACTGAAAGCATGATGTCATCTGGGATGTCGGCTCCAGTGCATATTCTGCACGCATGCGTTCTAGGCCCAACACCTGGTCCAGCAAGGTTCTGTCCTTTGTAGTGAAACTCGGAACACCCATCAAGGCAGCTAAAATTGAAATCGCACGGCTTCGAATCCTGGGCATGAACAGCTGGCATAGTTGTCGCCGCCAAACCTCAAACCCATTCCTGTTGCTAACTTGTCGAAGAAGACGGAGGGGCTTTCCCTTAAGGAGGCCAGTCAGCATGCTGTAAAGCTGATTGCATCTATCTTTCACTTCCCGCGGCTCACCATCCGCGCTGGAAATTGGGGTCTCAGCATGGGTCACTTCAACTCGATGGAGGTCTGTCTCGAAGTGCTTGTTGCCGTAGAACAGCCAAGTCTTGAAACTCACATCAAAGTCCTGCCACTTTGCCAGATCGTCTTCATGACATTCTGATCCAAATGGCTCAGGTTGTCTAACAACCTTGCTAGCTCCTTGAAAACCTCCAGCAGCTGAACTTCTGTTAGCTTGTTGGTCGCGTAGGGCCACAACAGCGTCACTAGCTGCCCTTGCAGCATCCATCGCCGCCTGAACCAAGGATGCCACATCCCGTTCTGTCAACGAAGCCATCAGCTATCAGCAACAAAAGACCTAAGACCTTTCTTTGAGCCCTCACCAGGTTGCAATGCCTCCTGGATCATCGGGCTCCGCTACCATGATTGTTTTCCTTGATTGGCAAACGCCTCGGATATCACTGCTGCACATGCCCTGCAAGTAAAATGGAATTGGAGCAGTTTTCAACTCAACTGTCTGCACAACTGGACATGAACTGCATCTGCAAACATGTATGTACATGACAGCTATATATGTACCTATGGCAGGGATTGCAACAGCGTAAGTTTCCATCAGAATCACTGCACGAACAGTATGATATAACGCCGACTGCGGAAGCAAGGTTACTGTGCCCAACTCAGACAGAACTCTCTTGGGCTGAGGGCACTCGATGATCTCAACGGGGTCCTCACTCGAAGACTCAGGGTTCGGCTCCCAGTTCCTAGAGATACCAAGTGGTCGAGATTGACCGCCCGAATGAGCCCCAGCAACTTCTTCACGAATTTCACCAGCTGCAACCCTGTGGCGGATGTACGCCTCTCTTTTGCGACGCGCTGTGCGACCACTCCGGATCCCACGAGTCCTGCCTGCAACTTCACCGTGTTGCAAGGCAAAGGACTCATAAGGATCCTCCCCTTCCATGTGCTGACTTTTCAGGGAGTCGCCAACCACATAAAAGTAAGATGAAATTTTGGGGGCCAACAAAAACAAGAGCAAGCTACGGCTGATAACCAATTGAGCTGTTGATGTTACGTGACAACCCCAAAAGGCAAACAAAACAAGTAACAACGTGAAACGACCCAAGGGCTGCAAACGCGACCTGTTTTGCCATCTTGAGCCAAACAGTTAAGTACGAACATGGTGACCCGTAAGGAGAGGTACTATACAATGAAATCATGGGTACATGGAATCCTGGAATGCCCATTTATTTCAAGTGAGGCGCGCCTAAAATCTTCCAAGCCAACCAAAGAGTAAGAGATGCATAACTAAGCATCAAACGAAGCCAGGCCAAGCCTAGCAAATTGCCGCAGGAACGGAAACGACTCAAGGTGTAGAAAGTCCTGTCTGGCAAACGCAATTTTTCATGAAACTGCCGACGCCAAGTTAGCTTCAAACCATATGACAGTCTAAGCTGCCAGCAGGCACTGAGCAAGGATATCCGAAGCGGCCTGCAAACCCAACAGTTGAAACGCGGTCACGGTGGTATTCGGAAACTGGCGAGCTGCATTCAGAAACTGGAGGTGGTATTCGGAAACTGGGATTCGGAAACTTTTAGTGGCATTCGGAAACTGAAAAGTGGTATTCGGAAACTGGACAGTGGTATTCGGAAACTGGTATTCGGAAACTAGAAACCCTTCATTGAGTTTTATTTCGAAACCAGAAAGTGATATTGAGAAACTGGGAGTTGCATTCGGAACTATTATTCGGAAACTGGAACCTTGGAATTGGGAAATTTTCGCCCACAGAACGCTGATGTGAATTTCCAACCATCCGCTGAACTCTTCAATGGCGATCCCTCATGGAGATAAATTGAAGTTAAGATCCTGTTGCATATATTGGCCAAAAAGGGTTGCATTTTTGATGCCTCATGAAGAGAAGTTCAAGTTAAGATCCTATTCAATACATTGGCCAGAGAAGATAGCAGTTTTGATCCCTTATGAAAATGACTTTTGGTTACTATGCCCATCAATGTATTGCTCAGAGGGTGTGGCGGTTTTCATCCCTCATGAAGATAACTTGAAGTTAAGATCCTGTTCTATATATTGGCCAGGGGGGTGCCAACCCCAAGTGAAATCTATATGAAAGCGCAGTCCTTCAACGGCGTGTTGTTTGCCAAGTTCTCCTCTTCCTATGACCGGGACATTGCCGTAGCGACATTGCGGAGTGCAAACATCAAACATGATCAGCATCACATTTGGGCAACACAGGACCTCCCAATCCCGACCCGTGCGCGCAAAATGTTTTTGTTAGGTCTTCTTTGGCAACTTGGTGAGTGGGGGTTTGTGAAACGTGAAATCGAAATCGACGAGCGCTACACCAAAATGACAATTGCTGGCAAAACAGTTGTGCAAGTTAAAGTTACTTCTTCAAATGGAGCGTTTCTTGTTGAATGGGCCAATGGATGGGTTGCTTGGGATGAATTTCAATCATGCGCACAGTTGCAGCAAATCATGGATAGAGCCAAGGTGGTGATGAAGAAGCAGGGCAAGGGCACAGGCAAAAGCAAAGATACGGGGGCCACCCCATCCCATTAGGGACAACTCCGTCCGAGTCAAGTTTCACTGAGCCCGTCTGCACATATGCACTTTCCCACGTTTGTTGCAGGTAAGCCGGGTGACAATCCTTTGCATGACATTACAATATGTAAGCAACACGAAAAATGCCCGTATAGAAAACACATGGGCGGAAATTTTGGGAGAACTTTCCATGGAACAATGGGATGTCGTTCTATTTTCGGAAATTCGTTGTGCAGCTGGCATGCTTTCATTGGATGGTGGTCATGTTTTGTATACTACAGATGAACCTTCATTTTCTTCCGGTGTGGCAATTTTACTTCATCAACGTCACGTTCATCATGTCAAAAAGGTTCAGCAACTATCCCTCCGTGTGATGTATATTGATTTGTTGTGCGGCACTGGGCTATTCAGAATTGTGGTCGGATACGCGCCCCATGCTGGGTATCCAAAAGTGGATTTGGATTTTTTCTACGATCAACTGCGGGTGTGCTTGGAAGAAGCTTGGCGAATGGGGCACACTATTATTGTCGGAGGCGATTTCAATACACAGGTTGGGGTCGGAATTCGTGGTTTTACTTTTGGACGAGCTAGCACATTCATTTGACCTGGTAGTTGCAAATAGTGATGGTGACGGGGAACAGCACTGGACTTTTGAGAGTTCCATGGGTGTTCGTCGATGAATTGATTTTGTTCTTTGCAGCCGATCATTACATCTTCGTTATGCAGATGCCAGCTCATTTTTGGATTTGGGGTCAGACCATCGAACTCTTACAGCTGTTTTCGGTGTGGCCAAGGTGGGACGCAGTTTGCGTAGAACATATTTTAAAACAAAAGGGTGGCAACCACAGCTTGATGAAAATGGTGATCCTTCCATATATCACATGCAGTTGACACAATTTTTCGAAACCCAACCTTGCAATAGTTTGTCTGAGCTGGAACGTGCCCTTGTACAAATTTCTACTGGGTCTGGAGCTGCCAGAAACTTACAACAGCGGAATGCGAACAATGAACCTTGGACAACGGATGAGTTTCAGTTGCTTTTACGGGAACGGAAGGAAACACAAAACAGACAAGAAAGAACACGTTTGTCAAAAGAAATCCGGAAACACCTTCGAAAACAGCTGCGCGCAAAACGCAACAAAAGAGTCACACAAATTTTGGGTGAATTTTGTGCCTTGAACAGCTTGGATTCGACGTTCCGTGATCCAATCCGGTCCCAAAAGCAAATCCAAAAGGAACCTCAACCAGAAGAATTTGCAAACTATTTAGGTGATGTTTTTCGATCTGACGTAGGCCACAATGCGTCCGTTTTGGATATGCTCAATGTTTTTGCTTCATCGCACGGGTTCCACAGCATTCCGCCTTTCCAATTTCCTGAGTTGGAATATGTGTTGAGCCAAATTCCATGCAACAAAGCAACAGATGCTACTGGAGTCGTGGTTGAAATGTTCAAACATGGAAACGTCGAATTGCACACGTGTTTGTTGAACATATTTAACGGTATGTTGAAGAGCGGTTGTTTCGATGAATCGTGGCGGGCTACACTTTTTACAATGTTGCCGAAGATGGGGGACACATCAAGACCAAGTTGTTGGAGGCCAATTGCTATTCTCAAAATTTCCTACGAAATATTTTCCAAGCTGATTTGTCAGAGGTTGAGGATTACATTGGACACCCATCAAAGCATTGACCAAACAGGGTTTAGGCCTGGCACTGGTATTGAGGACGCGTTCCTTGTTTTCGAGTCATTGTGCAGCAAGAGCCTTGAGTGGAATTTGCCCCTGTGGTTTGCAAGTTTGGATTTGACTAAAGCCTTTGATCGTGTTGTATGGTCGTCTTTTTGAAGTTTTGCTGGAACAAGGTGTGCCAAAACCAAATTGCAGCAGGGACACGGGTTTTCCATTCAGAGAGGTGTGAGACAAGGAGATGTCATAAGCCCTTTTCAACGCTGTGTTGGAGTCGGCAATGCGGAAATGGAAACGCAAACTGTTGGCGAGTCATGGTTTGGTCATTGCCGGAGAAAAAATTACTAACATCAGGTATGCAGATGATTTGATGCTATACGCCCGATCTTTGCAAGACTTGAAGGATATGACTACATTTTTGATTACAGAACTCGGAGCCATGGGTCTTCAACTCAATGCATCAAAAACAAAAATATTGACAACAGTTTCCGGAAGTCGACCTATGCACGTGGAACTTGCTGGTGATTCAGTGGAAATTTTAAGTGGCCGTAGCAAACATAACTAGGATTTTCATGTCCGCTTCCCAAACCGAGATGCACACTTTAAGTGTAGTATCAGTTTTTATCAGTGGAAAGCTCACTGATGGATGTATGCATTCAAGGCCTTTGGCTGTCAAAAGGAGTGAGTTTGTCAATGGTAGCGGAGCCCAAGGACAGCATTCCGTGACGGTCTGCTCGAGGGCTAGTAGTGGGGGACAGGACCCTTATCCCCAGGTGTTGTTGGTAGTCCGGGCACCACGCCATATAGTCTGTATTGAGAGCTTTCGAATCTGGATACATGGCTTCAAGTGTGGGTGGTGATGCTTCACCTCAAAGTCCTCAAAGCCCTGCGCAGCCTGCTATTGATGGGGCTGAGTTAGCCCGGCGGATGTTGATGGCAACGGAAGCAGCATCAATGGCTGCATCAACAGCAGCACAGGCATTGCTTGAATTGAAAGATAGAACTAGCAGTTCGTCATCAGATGAGAAGGCTTGGTACCGTTTGTTGCCTCGTCCTAGCGTGTTTGATCCTGACAGTCGGGAAGCAGAGTTGGCACAATGGCGGGAATGGAGCTGGAGCGTTGAACAGTATCTAGCTAGCATGGATCCCGAGTTTGCAGTTGACCTGGCCCGCATCAGGAAGAATTCAAATGCAGAAGTTGACATGTCCATCATGGATGACAATGAAAGGAAAAGATGCACTTTCTTGTATGGATTGTATGCGTCCCTTCTTCGCCAAAGACCCTTGATGATGTTGAAGAAAATTGAGGGCAGCAATGGGCTTGAAGCTTTTAGGCAATTGGTTCTTTCGATGGAACCAGTTTCGCGCAACAAATCGTTAGGCATCCTCAATGCAATCATGAGTTGGCCACAGTTCTCCATGAAAGGCGGTTCTGTCGTTGCACAACTCCTGAAGTTAGAAGCAGCATTCCGTGAATATGAACGTACGACTGGCGAGGTTTTACAAGAAGAACTTCGTTTTGCTGTTGTTTTCCGTTGTGTCACGGGTCAGTTGAAAACATGGCTTCAATTGCAGGTTCAAGATGGGACTTCATATGCAGACTTGCGTGAGCACATTGTGCGGTATGACAAAGCAACATTGAAATGGACCGATGCGATGTGCCTTGCGTCTGAGCCTTCTCATGCAACCGTTCCCATGGATGTGGATCGAATTGAAAAAGGAAAGAAGGGCAAAGGCAAACCCAAGGGAATGAACAACAAGGGTAAACAGACCAAAGGTGATAGCAAAGGTGATGGCAAGGCCAAATTTCAATCATCAAAAGGAAAAAGTTCGCAACAACAAGGTGGCAAACAGAATCCTGGTTTCGGGCAATGGAACCAAACAGGATACCAACAAATCCAACAAGCAGGTGGCAAACAAAGCGTGCAGAACCAAATTGCAGGCAAACAAAGTGACAAAGGTAAAGGCAGAACTTGTTACACTTGTGGCAGAACTGGGCATCTAGCTCGAGATTGTTGGAACGCAAAAGGGAAAGGTGGCTTCGGTGCACACAGCCAAGTACGCAGTGTGGAAG